TGGTATGTAACCTCAAGCAATAAGCCCATGCCTCAACTCACAGAATCTGTCGAGTATCAACATCTGGTTGGTTAGTTACGATGCCAAATTCAAATTTGGAGAGTATTATGCAGACATATGATGAATTCATGGCACCAAGAATGCTGGTTTAGCAACAACCGCAGCTGCTGTAACTGTTCATCAGTTCACGGGGCTGGTTGCACGCTGTGTATCTGTTTGTTTTTTCTAATTTCTTAGAACACAGTTTGTATGACTCTGTTTATAAGTACTTGTTTTTGGGAGAATTTGCACCTGGTTTTGGCTTACATTCATTTCATTGGGACTCACATGATCCTTCATCCAGTGGGGAGTCTGCAACAACAGATGGAACATGAAAATGTGAGGTTATCCGTTACCTGCCCGTGGGTGTCAAGGCCCAAGTCTTCCCAAGAGGCCATAGGGCGATGACTCATGTCTAAAACCATGTCAAACGGACATTTAGCCAGGTCGCTGCCACTTGCCCTGTTGTATTTTTCGTTTGTTTTGTGGTACACTTGCTTCCAACTTTGTCCAACACCACCTAAAAGAAGTAGACTCTCTCCAAGATACATTTTGCTTGGCAAATCAGGTTTCTTTAATCCCCTACCCCACCTACGGAAACCAAAAATGTTACTTGACAAAGATGATTGTAACCTGAGTGTTAAATTAGTACAATGAACAATGCCAACAATGCACTGCACAGAAAGGGATTTATTCAAATGCTGTTTCTCTTTTGACTTTCCCATCTTAGCTTCTAAAAAAAAATCAAAGATTTTTAGGAGGGAGGACTGCGGCATCTCTTCAGAGGTAGATCAAAGTCGCCCTGTCTGCCTCTTCTCATTCCTGATGGGTGTAAGAGACCAGAGGCCAGACGATGCTGTCGCACTTTAGAGCAGCACACACACACAAGCCAAATCTCATCATACTGTGATGCAGGCCTACACACATATGCCTGCCAGTGCAGACAGACGCGCACACACAGACATGGGCGCTGGCTTTGAGATCAAACAAAGGTGAGTAACATCAATCCATCCTACCTGTCTGTGAAACCTCTGTACAGCAGAGAGCGTGCCAGCTACAGCACCACGCCCCTCCAACCCCCTCTCAACTGTGTTGAGTAGGTGCATTGTTCCATGGAAACCAGCATCTTATTTAGAATAAAAGGAAAAGATAACGTTCCTCCGTAGTACATTTTAACGGAGAGAACAATGGCTGTGCATTCACTCTCACACATGCAGCGATTCTACGTATCTCCAGTAAAAGTACACAAAATATAAGCCTTTCACGGCGACACATACTCATGGGAAAAGAATAACAACTTCTCATCCCCAGCACAATGAACCAACAAAACATGCTGAATAATTCAAAATGTTTGGATTGGTTTTACACTCTTATTGAACAGAATAGTCCCCGGGTAGAATATCATTTTTACACGAGAGAGGAAAACACTGGTGTTATTGAATGTTTTGCTCATGCATTATTTCTCTGCTGCCTTCATTGCAGCTTGACCACCGTGATGACGTAAATAATTCAGATTCAAATTACGTTTCCCTGTTTGTTCCTCTCAAAAGTCAATTGAAAGTCTCATAGAGACGGATCATCCATCCAAAAACATGTTGAGTAAATGCAGCGCTGCTTGATTCAGGAACGTGAAACAGCCATACTCTACTTCTATACGTAGCAAGAGGATCTATAGTCACATCTCACGAGGTGAACAACGTCACGGCTTTTGCAAATGATGTGATTTTTCACAGCACTATTCAAATTATGATGAATCTTTTATAGTTTCAGCTTACAATCTCTCCTAGCTGATGATTTTATGCAGGAGACATGTCAAAAATACCCTTTAACCGCCTTTAAACCCAGTTTGTAATTCATCCAAATGCAGCTTAAAGCTGCACTAATCAATGTGAAAGCAGTCGTTTTGGTGACAAACCCACACAGACTTATCAACCGACACAAAGCGGTTTAGCATCTTTTGGGTTTCTGGCCTGCTGTGTCACAGTTTTGGTGACTAGAAAACTAGAAAATGGTTTTGTCTACAGATAAAGAGGCTCGAATACACACTTGTGTGGACAAGTAAAAGTGCATAATGTGTTCTTATTTGTACCCCAGATGAGTGAAATCCAGCATTTGGGTTCATCGATGTTTCAGGGGTCACACAGACTGCAAGTCACTGCGTTGTATCTCTATTCGCACACAACACAAATTCCCAATTTCCCCCCTCCTTAACCTCAGGCTACACATGCAGCCCCCAGATGTTCTCAATGTTTCTAAAGCTTCTTGGAGCAGGAGCGTTGGTGTCGATTCACCGACGTTTCCTTCGTGATAAAAATTCCCGAACGGCACTTTGAGAATCTCTGTTTGAGCTGCACTCGGGTCTGCTCGGCAGCGTCCAATTTGTCTGGCTTAATCGTTGGCGGTTGAGCTGGGGGGGAAGGAATCATAGAGGGCAGCAAGTTTAAGGAGTGCCTGACATCAGAGGCGGTGCAGGCCACTGACAGCTGAACAAAAGCACATGGTGCCACATCTGGCTTCTAGTTTAGCATGCGGTTACCCTCAGCGTATACCTCAGCACTGTGATTATCTCAGTCCCACCGCCTTTCAATGGAACAAAGAGAATTGTTGTCTAAGGATAGGCTTGGGAAACAGCAGCCCTGAAATTTCACCGCGGATGAAGGAGGGTGAGAGTCCCAACTTCGAGCCAGGCAGTATAGAGGGCAGGGTGTCCTGGCCTGCTAGGAAAAAAGCATCTCTGAATGGAGGAGATTATTGTGCTATCAGCTCACTGTCATTTCATGCTCTGCATGCTCCTGGGTTTCCTCAGTAACCCTGTCAGTGGCCTCACAGTCACCCCACTACAGCTGGACCATGTGGTCCACAGCTGAGAATTACTGGCAGAAAGAAAACCACCACAAAGTCAAGAGGAAAGAGCAGGGTGCCCCTTCCAACCGCAGAGTGTTCGCACACATGCTGTAAACACACGCATGTGACACACAAACACCATCTACTCTGTGCACGTTTTATGGGATTCAACCACGCCGCACGGAAAGGGAGGCCAGCATGTGGGATAAACAATACTGGAACAACAGCAGGCCAGCCCAGTGGTTAGAAGAGCAGTCTCAGAAAGTTCACAAGTTCAAGATACTGGAAGCGTCTAAGCAACATTCTCAGGACGCTACCTGCCTGCTCATTGAGCATCTCCGAGCTAAAGTTTCTGTTGTCATTTTGGAAACATTTGTGTTGCTAAGTTAAATGTAAATTATTCTGCCACGAGGCCAAGTAACACGTTTGTGGGAACACTCTGTGGTTTAGGCTGATAAGTCGAGTGGAGTATATTATTACTCCGGCTTGAATCACCAAACCGCTGCTGCTGCACTGCTTGGTGTGTGTTGCAAATGAGAAGAAAAAGGGGTTTCAAGTGAAGGAAAAGCCGGGTGAATGTGTGGTGATTACTCACAGTATATACCCAGTCACTCAGCATCAGCCCGCTTTGCAACATGATCACAAACTTTCCCGGTTGAGCCGCTTCTATCACTGAGGTGGTGAAAGTGGAGAGTCAGTATCATCTCCAAAGCCATGAAGCATCATATCAAACATCTCCCCTCTGTCAGTGCTCTAAACAAAGATAAATTCACCTAGATGCGTGTTGTAGCGTCAGGTACACTGACTCATGTATTAGTCGTGATGACTCATGCTTGTTTTCTTCACGTGCTCATCTTTTCTTGTAAAGACAACCCCTGCCTCCCTTGAGCAACTGATGATACATGTGTTTGTGAGTGGTTATCAGGGCTTTGGCACTGTTTTGTTTGCATTTTGTTATTTGCTATCTTTCTGAGAGATAAGAAGATTGATGCCACTTTCATGTCTGTGTGCTAAATGTGAAAGTGGCAGACTGTTAGCTTAGCATAGCAAAGAGACTGGAAACAGGGGTACACAGCTAGCCTGGCTCCGTCCAAGGGTTAATCCTGTTTGTTTAATCTTTACAAAAAAAAAACGCCGTAAAACAATGTGTTAGTGAGTGAGCCTTAGAGGTGTTGGTAGGCGAATTCTGTTTGGACAGACCGGTTTCTCTGTTTTCAGTTTTTATGCTAAGCTAAGCTAATCGCCATTCGCTGTCGCGTCATGCCTATACCAAGAGAGCGGTATCATTCTTCTCATCTAACTCGCAGAGAGATCAAATAAACGCATTTCTCAAAATGTCTGAAGTGATAAAGACTTTAATCTTCTTCTGCCCTGGTGAAGCCATTTTGGACACGTTTCTACCGTGTGGTTTCATGCATATCTTGACAGAATGAATTATATTCCCACCAAAAAAAAATGGAGATTGTGGATGGAGGTGAGTACATCTTTGATTTATTGGGGCCTTATGTCAAGATTACTATCAATCCTGAGATTTTATATCTGCACCAGCAGCAAATAATACCATCTATCTGATTAAAACCCTTCCATAGTTCCACATCCAGAGGTGAAAAGTGGAGGGGTAGCTATGGGGGGAGTCTCTGCTCACTCACCACCAGCTCAGACAGGTCTCAACCGGCTGGCTGCTCCTGCACCTTGGCAAGCCTCTCCAGTCTAAACAGCTGACATCATCCCGCAGGAAGCCGGGAAGCCTTATTGCAAGGTGAGACCTGGGTTAGAAAAATATGCTTTGATCCAAACGGGGCCACAGGAAGGTCTTTCCAAAAAGCTTCCCAACACCTGGGAAGGGAACACCTTTGGCGGCACTGCAGACTTTCAAGTCGGTGCTAGAATGGCTTGTGTGAGGTCCAGGCCTCGTGGGAGAAATGTGGATTAAATGTGTGGAAGTAATCCAAGACTGAGAATATTAAACATGTAGGTATGGAGATATCCAATATACAGTTATGATTCACTATGGTGAAACACACTCCGACATGACCATGCACCAGAATGGCTATGAGATATGAGGACGATGGGTAAACAGTGAGACACTATAGTTACTCCTTTCTCGGCACTCATCTTTGTAAGCATCCAAATTCTATATGGCAACACTGCCACCATGTGGTCATCTTTGATCACTGCAACACCACCCAACATCCACCTGCTAATGTAATCCATTGCACTACACAAAGGACACATTGTACAAGAAAATATACACACACACCCTTGTTGACATGGGTTTATCTTAAATTATATTTAATTCACCTTTATTGAATCTTTTTTTTAAAACCATACAACAAATAAAGACAAGTGGTAGTTTGAGCACACCAGAGAAAAGCAACAACGACCAGCGTACTGAGAGCATAGAATGTCTCTTTTTTTGTCCTTTAATCCATGATCCACTGCTGGAGAAAAACTTGCGTGGCCAGCGTTTGTTGGTACTAAGTGCATCTGGTAAAAAAAATGGGCAGTTTCAGATGTGCAGAGGTTCTTCCTGGTCCGTCTTTGGTTTGTAAATCAAAGCTCCTCGTTTGGACTTGTGGTCGTCTCGGACGCTTCCGACCCCTCTTCTTTTTCTGATGAGAATCGAAGCATGAATAAATAATTATACATATTCTAAAATAGTCCAATATATTCTCCTTTAATATTGATAATATGATTGTGAAGCTGAACAGGAATGGATCAAAGAAAAGTGTCATTAATGGCTGGATTGTGACAATGCGTATATATTCTTTCTAGGCTGTGGCATCACTAAACTTTGTAGTGGACAACTTTCTGATCAAATGACAACCCCAAAAAAAAAAAAGTATACAGCTAAATTACACAACCTGCAGGGCACAGATAATATGACACCAACACTAATCCTCACCTGGCTGGAGCGTCTGGACACACTCTCCCTCTTGCTTCCCATAACCACTGGAGCAGATGCACACATGGCTGCCTTTAGTGTTGACACACTGCTCGTGTTCCTTGGTGCATACCGGCTCTGGCTGGGAACACTCGTCAATATCTGGAAACACACAATGTGAGGCAAAGCTGATACACCGACCTGACCGAAACAAAGTTCTCTCTTCCGATGAGTTTGTCCGTTTCTGAAATACTCCTCACACATCCTTCTAGAATTGACATACAGCCAAAGGGAGTGAACCCCTTTAAATAGTGAATTATTTACATTATACCTGTGCAGGTGCCCTCTGTGTCTTGGTACCCAGCAGCACAAGCCCGGCACTTATCAGGACCGGCCGCAGTGCAACCGGAGCACAATTTGTCGCAAGCTGCGAAGGACAAAAGCAATTTTATATACATGATGGCAGAAATACACATTACACTAGCTACACTTCATCATGCAGTCGCTATTGTTGCGACCCAGTCTTACGGACAAAATGTGCAAAGCAGAGAACGTTAATTACCCGAGCAGGAGTAAGAGCCTTCCGTGTTGAGGCAGTATTGATCTTCTTCACACGGTGAAGGATCTGCGGAGCACTCGTTTACATCTGGAACACACGACATGTACTGCAGTGAGGTAGACAGTGGTGTGTACACAGACCATGCTTTTGTTTTTCTTGTATACTAGATGGAGACTTTTTACTGGTCCTCATACCAACACAAGCTTCCTGCTCGTCGTCCTCCCAGCCGTCTTTGCACTCATCGCAGTCCTGATTGGTCGCTCCAGTGCAGGTTTTGCAGGACGAGTGGCATTCTGTGCGAGAACAGATTTCACTTACTCACTCTTTTCCTTCGTATCTAAATGAGGGCAAGTGATGGCATCAAAGAAAGAGCTGCAGCTTGTTCACTCGATGTGTACCTGTGCACAGGGAGAAGGTGTCGTTCCTCACTTCGTTGAAGTAGCCGTCGATGCAGTCGAGGCAGAACTCCCCTTCATAGCCGTGGTCACAGCTGCACTTCCCGTTGCCTCCGCGAGTCCCGTCGCCGTCACACTGTCCATTTCTATGACAAGGTGCGTCGGAGCCGCCCACACAGTCTTCAAGACATTAAATCAGAAAGACAACAAAACTAATATTTAACCACTGTTTGCATCAGGCCCTTGTGTATATTTGTTCAATGCAATACTTTTGAGCTAAAGTACATCTCGTCTCACCATTGCAGTCCGGTCCAAATGTTCCCTTTGGACAGCACACTTTGATGGTGTCGATGCAGAACCATTTATGCAGATCGGGATGTTTTGTTTTCCTGTATTGCAACAGGAAAGAAAACCACAAGACATGAGATTTGTTTGCTTGCCATCGTGGCTGAAACTTAACTGAAACTTAGAAAATATTTGCATTAGCACACACACACACACACACAGACACCCACCCACCTCTTGAACCACCAAGTCTCAAAATGGTCTTCGTGCTCCTCCAACATGCGGTTGCACTCGAAGCTGCTGCTGTCGCACAGCCCCTCCACGATCTCCATCAGACGGATCTCGCTGTAAAGGAAGCAAAAGGCATGAACTGATAGAAGTTTGGAGATGAGCATGTGCTCACCCATAAGCTGTGCGATAACACAGGAAGTGTTTGTTGCACAGCTTTGTAGGCCTTGCGAGAGTGGCAAATTAACACATTCTGCAGTTTTGTCAGCTATATAGTCAAATGCATATCGCTCATCTACAACATTGATAAGCTTCTCGCACCAAGTACAACAGCCAGCAGCTCTGGTGCAAAGCAAACACGGCTCTGATGACCCGGCTCCTGTGGCAGGGTGACCCGGGTCAGGACAGGCTGCACCGTCTCACCTCGTCTCATATTTAGACAGTGTTCTCTCCTCCCAGGCTGTGTTGCCACCTCCAAAGTTCTGCTTTGCTGTTCTGTCAAAGCCCTGAAATATAAAAAAAAATAGTGGTACCGTTTGTACAGACAGAAACAGTGAAGGGTGTGGATTATGTTTTAATACATTTGGCACCATTTAAGGTAGCAGGAAACATTCACAACAGAGCAAGATAATGACAAGCAAACACAAGGGAGAAGCGTATTCGTGTTCTCTTACCTTGTTGAAGTTGTCAGTAACTTGCTGACAGGTAGTACAGGCGCTTTTTAAATCCTTCTTGGCGTCGGTGACTTGAAGAAGTAAAACAAGAGTTACACAGGACAATAGCCGCAGCTGCGGACCGGTGGGCAGCATCTCAGCCGATCAATTGGGACACCGTTTCATATCAGGACACACGTTTAAGCCACTCGCAAGCAAGCTTTCGACTAATGTTAAAGCGCTGCAGGGTTGGACACATCTAAATGAGCTGCTCCTAACATTAAATCTAGGTTTGCGCTGTCTATGCCAAACGCTACAAGATAGTATTTACATGCCGGTTGTGGGGGAAAAACCGATACGGCTTTAGACTTCCGGGTCTGCCTCTTGGTCGAATTGTGGCTCGCGCTGATTTGCTCAGATTGCCTGTCAAGCAAGTGTACGACCAATCACAAGCCGCCACGCGCGGGACAAACAGTTCATTCCCTGCAATTGGGCTCGTTTGAGATGAGCCAGTCGGCACAATGCATGCCGGTTAGATTTGTGTCCGGCTTGATCCCGATTTGCTCTGACGTCATGAACACGTGGGCAACGATAACCTCACGAGAGCTGATTGGCTCTTGGATTTGACGACAAAACACCACGTTTTGTAGAAAATCCTATTTTTTCATTCCTGCTGCTGTCACACTTAACAATCAACACTGCTTCAGTAGAAACTGACTTAATTCACTCGTGCAATATAAATAGTTTCCTGTCGAAAAATTACATCTGTGCAAAATCCAAGAGCGACATGACAAGACTAGTCTATAATTCGAAGGATATGAACATAGTTAGCAAAATAGGCCACCATTACTCATGTGAATGGAGTCGAAAGAGTTCATTTTTTTATTTATTTTTTTACCAGGAAGTGTGCAGTTCCAAAGCAGGGGAGGAGCTCTTACCTACGTCACCATGCGAAAATGAAACTTAGTGAGGAGTCGAGGGACAAGTTCTTAAAGTGTAGTTAACTTTGAGTATTAAGTGCTGCTGCTTTGAAAACTTCCTCTTTTACAGGTAAGAAAGATAATATAGTTCAACTGTTTTCATTTCCTTTATGCGTTTCTCGTCACACATAACACAGTTTCAACAGATTATGCAGCCCATTGACTTGAATTGTATGAGTTGTAATTGCATTTGTGTACTTCTTGTCCAGATATGGCCACCGCCAGCAGTCTGCTGTCAGAGGACAAGTTCCTCTGTTCCATCTGCCTGGATGTGTTCACTAAGCCGGTCACAACGCCATGTGGACACAACTTCTGCAGTGCATGTATCCACACGTACTGGGACGGCAGTGACACTTGCCAGTGTCCATTATGCAAAAGGGTATTTCCCCAGAGGCCTGAGCTCCAAGTCAACACTTTTGTGTCCGAGTTAGCTGCTGAGTTTAAGACGCTGGTTCAAGTCAAAGCCTCAACCCCAGACCCACAACTTCCTGGAACTGCAGACGTTGTTTGTGATATCTGCTCTGAGATGAAGCAAAATGCAGTTAAATCTTGTCTGACGTGCCTGGTGTCCTTCTGCGAAGCTCACCTCGAGCCACATCAGAGGGTTGCCAGTCTCAAATGCCACGCACTGTTAGACCCTGTGAAGAACTTTGACCACAGAATGTGCAAGACCCACGACAAGACAACAGAACTGTACTGCAGGACTGACCGGGCCTTTGTTTGTGTGCTGTGTCTCAAAGCCGATCACAAGAGCCACAATGTCGTCCCACTTGAGGAAGAATACGAAGCAGCGATGGCAAAAAGAGATGAGGCGATGGCAAATATCCAAAAGATGACACAATCTCGGTACAAGAAGATAGCTGAGGTCGAAAGGTCAGTTGAAGCCAGCCAGACGGAAGCTGAGAAAGAGAAAGAAGCCAGCGTGCAGGTCTTCACCGACTTGATCCGCTCCATCCAGAGAAGCCAGGCCGAGCTGGTCGGGGTGATCGAGGAGAGGCACGGAGCAGCGAAGCAGAAGGCTGAAGATTTGATCAGAGAGCTGAGGGCGGAGGTCGCAGAGCTTGAGAGCAGAAGCGTACAGCTGGAGCAGCTGTCGCAGTCTAAGGATCACCACTATGTTCTCCAGAGTTTCCCGACCCTGCGCTCTCCTTCAAACGCCGACCGGGCCGACATTGGCGTTCGCAGCGATCCGTCTTTCGAGGCAGCGAGAGGCGCTGTGACTCTGCTGAAACAGAGAGTTGATGAAATTCTGGAGGAGCTTCCGGAGATCAAAATGAAAAGAATGAGAGAACATGCAGTGGACTTGACTTTTGATCCCGACACAGCATATTGTTCACTTGTCATAAGTCCGGATGGAAAACAAGTGAGAAATGCAGGCATAGAACAGAATCTTCCCTCCAATCCAAAGAGATTTGAAATGTGTTCAGATGTTTTGGCTAAGGAGGGGTTCACAGCAGGGAAGTTTTACTATGAGGTGCAAGTGAAAGGAAACACTGAGTGGCTTGTTGGAGTGGTCGGAGAGTCTGTGGATAGATGGGGTAGTAGTAAATCAGTAGAAAATGGTGCTTGGTTCATTGGGCTTGATGAAGGAATATATATTGCATCTACATCACGTTGGGTTAAATTTACACTGAAAGAAAAGCTTCAGAATGTGGGCGTCTTTGTGGACTACAACAAAGGAGAGGTTTCTTTCCTTGATGTGAATTCTAAATCGCGTATCTATTCTTTCACTGGCTCCCACTTTAGAGAGAAACTGTTTCCATACTTTAGTTTTCAAAGCAACAGGGATGGAGCCCCTCTCATCATAACCCCTGTACCTCAAACACACTGAGGTTGTTTGTTCTTCGAAGACCGCAGAATAGATAACATTGGTCTCAATTAACACACTTAACAAATCTGCTTAAAGTATTACCAACACATTTGAAATGTTGTATATAATCAAACCATCGTCTTTTATATCTGTAATGTTTTCTGCCCATGCAGAGATGTACAAAAGAAGTGGGACAGTGGTGTCTTTTGTCGACAGTGCACTTTTCTGTTTATGTGTAGATGTAAACAAATGATTCTAATGTTGCACAGTCCGATCATGTTGTATGACAATGGCTGAGGTTATTAGTGCTAGATTATGGTGATATATTGTGAAGTTACTTTAATATTTAGTTGCTCTCATGTATATTTTGATAGGATTTTCTTTTTCAAAATTTCACATGTCGGACTTTTTTTTTGTTTGATGTCATTTGAATGAAGACATGCTGTGTATACAGCCACTACCCTGACAATGTTTATCATAGTAAGACTTCTACAAAGGCACAGCACTGGGGGGGGAAAGTCCAGTGTGTAACAACTTCTTCATTTTGCTGGTTTCTTGTCATTCGACACGTCTGACCAGAATAAACGAGACGTGTAGAATCATTTTGTCATGTCATTTCTACCTGTAAGATTCCGTCACATTATTAAACTCAAAGTTCTAAAGCGTCTAAACATCTCTTGACAATAGACATGACCACCACTGTCTGAGCAGTTTGCAGGTTCAGTGTTTTGCGCAAAGACAGATTGACGTCGAGGGGTTTGAACTTGTGACATTAAGGACACCTAAAACTACATCTCACCTCTAACCCCACCCGCTAGAAACCCGGCTCAGTGAGCCCCGGCTCCTTGCAGCTCTTAACATTTTAGGTGGGCGGTGCTACTCGCCGAATAGAATATCTGCTTTGTGAGATTTCAATCAATAGTAGTCTGCCCACATCTTTTGCTCCTGCCCTCACACTTGTGTGTGTGTGTACATTCTCCTCGAGTGTGATGCGTGGGCCAATGTTCTTAAGCACTACTGATGGAGCTCATTCATAACTGTGACTAGAACCTGGTGTGTTTCATTGTATTTCATTAATTGGACACAAGCCCATTTTCTCTAGTGACAAATATCTTGTGATCATTTTCTGAGTCATTTACACTGAATCTTTCGTTACAGCATGAAATGAGTCAGTAGACTAATGAAAGAGATGCAGACATCAACCGTATGCTATAGAGAATGGAAATCAAACGTCCAGAAATACCAGATATTTAGACATTTTCAAGGTGGAAGGTAGTATTTATTGTGGATAATTTTTTCATATTGTGTGAATTTTAAAATGGTATTAATACAATTGCATATTTTGTCAGAATGTATTCCTTTTACACTCACATTTAAGACAAGGGAATTCCAGCGAGACATGCCTTTTCTCTTTTAGTGACGTCTCTACCTGACTGACAGATGCAGGTCAGCTGTGTCATCAGGTGCAAAATGGAAGTATTCAAAATAAATTAAATTGAATTGAATATTGGGATACAATTTACTAACACAACCTGATCTTAGTAGACTTGTTTAAGTCAGCATTTCCACTGCAGGTGAACAACACTTATCTATACAATAAATACTTTGTTACATATATGGTTTTATGGAACAGAAATATGAGTAAACATGGTCCATTTATACTATTTATTATAGTGGGAATTGAAATTAAAGACAAGCCTTGTCATAACTTTGCCGCTCAACAAGACTAGTTTTGGGGAATATGATGCAGAATTTGACCATTTTGACCGACATAATACTGTTATGCAGAGGGGGTGGTATAGCGCATCAGCTGGTGCTAACTGCTGTTCAACAACACAAAGAAGAAGAAATGCTCCATTCATGAAACAGGACTTGTGTAGTGACAGTCCACCAACCCACCAATGTTGCACGGTGTTTAATTTAATTCCTGAACTCCAGAGTAGTAGAAGTTGGGGTCATTTACTTCTCCATACAGATGATGAACCATTTGATCTTAGTCAGTGTATTGATTTATTTCATGTGTCCTTTAGCAGCACCTAGTGGCAATTGTAAATAGCTGCACTGAAGAGGAAGTGAGCAAATAGGTACGTTATTTTGTGTCCCCCACCAGCAACCATGGTTCCGTTTCAAAGGTGGTTTCTAGTCGGACGTTATTATTAAAGGGGCCAAAAACATGGCTGCCCACGAAAGTGACAATTGGGGACTTTTCTTAGTTACGCAAGAAAAATAGTATTAAAAGGAAGGACTGTCATTTGAAAACATGGGTTTTATTAAACACGTGGTGTGCGCCATGTCCGGCGGCGTCGACAGCTCTGTCGCGGCACTGTTACTAAAGAAAAGAGGTGAGGAAAAACCACACACACACGCACACACATGCACACACACTTGAACTGACTTTGCTCATGTTAAATGGTCAGCTAACCAGTTGAAACCGCACTCCCTGGAGAAATACAAAGCCAGACACGCAGCTGTTTCTCTCTCTTTCCCTTCCACCTGAAGGTTACAGTGTAACAGGAGTCTTTATGAAGAACTGGGACTCACTGGATGAGAGCGGGGTGTGCACCACAGAGAAAGACTGTGAGGACGCCTACAGAGTGTGTCGGACCCTGGACATCCCCTTCCATCAGGTGTCCTATGTCAAAGAGTACTGGCATGAAGTCTTCAGGTATTTGCTGCAGCCGTGTGTGCACGAATCACAAACGCCTTTTAATTGTGCAACTCTTTAATGTGAACGCATCATCTGTCTGTTGCCTCTTTCAGTAAACTATTGAAGGAATATGAGAGGGGGAGGACGCCTAACCCAGATATACTCTGCAACAAGCACATCAAATTCAACCATTTCCACAAGTATGCTCTCACCACTCTGGGTATGTGAATCATAATGTGTTCCTACACCGATGTAAACTCATTCCAAACAGCTGTTTAATATCTGGTAAACAGCGGGTGGTGGTTGGAGATCAGAGGATTGAATTGGACTGATATCAATGTCGGACACACAACACGTGTGGCGTTTCATTCGTGTTGTGCTGTTGTCTATTCAGGGGCGGATGCAATGGCCACAGGCCACTACGCCAGGACGTCGCAGGAAGACGAAGACGTGTTCCAGCAGACGCACACAGCGCCGCCGTCCACTCTCTTCAGAGACCGATTCGAGACTAGAAATCGTAAGAGTTTATGACAGGGAGTGAAATTTCACCACAGCACCAGCTTTAAGGTCTCTTTAAACTCTCCGTCTCTCTTCCCAGCGGTGAGGTTGTACAAAGGAGCAGATCTCCTCAAAGATCAAACCTTCTTCCTCAGTCAGGTCTCCCAGGATGCCTTGCGACAAACCACCTTCCCGCTGGCCGGACTCACCAAAAACTTTGTCAAAAAGATTGCTGCTGAGGCCGGGTTTCACCATGTGCTGAAGAAGAAAGAGGTAGCCACACATAGGAATAAAGAAAGAAAGATGCATCAATAGGGATCTATGGATTCACATTGTATACCAACAGTAAACTTTATCTTCTTTAGAGTATGGGCATCTGCTTCATCGGAGAGAGAAACTTTGAAAACTTTATTTTGGAGGTAAGAATTAAACCCTCCAAGTAGTTTGTCAACATGACACATTTATTTTTCCTCTCATCTATCATGTATTGACCAATGCATGTAAAATAATACTGTCTTTTTTCTTCTTCCTGTTTCCAGTATCTGGAACCCAAACCGGGGAACTTTGTCTCCATCGAGGACGGGGCTGTCATGGGAACACACAAAGGCATGCCCATTGTTGTTTGAGGCTCTCAAATTGTGAACCTCTCTGACCCAATGAAGAACTGCTGTGTCACTATTGCCTTATTATACAGTCCGGATGTAATGGCTCTCACATGTATCATATCTTAGGCCAATTAACACTTAAATCGCTGTTTTCCGCCTCACTCGTGGATATCCTTTTAAATTTGTGTTTCAAACTACTGACACTTCAAACATCTCATAGTGTACTTCCTGCTCCTTCTCTTGTCCTTCAGGCTGGTTCACTTTGACGCTGGGCCAGAGGGCGAGAATAGGAGGGCAGAGGGACCCCTGGTTTGTGGTGGACAAAAACACCGATACTGGAGATGTGTTTGTGGTGAGAAAGTTTGTCGAGGTTGTTAAATGGTTAAAACGCTGCGCTAACATTTAGGATTTACATTTAGTGTGCTCACTTTTTTGAAGGTGGAGTCAAGCGTGCAACATTGTTTGACCAACTTTTTCCGTTGCTTTTTATTCCCTTAAATGTGTTGCCGATCAGGCTCCGACTACCAATCACCCGGCTCTTTTCCGTGACACGGTGCGTACAGACCGCTTCCACTGGGTCACGTTTGACCCGCCTCCTGAACTAGTCAAGACCCAGATGATGGAGTGTCATTTCCGCTTCATCCACCAGATGCCTCTCAGTGAGTTTTGTGTCCCGTACGTTGATGAAAGAGTGTTAACCGAACAAATAAAAACTTTTTTCTTTTTCTTTTTTTTGTGCTTTCCAGCTCCCTGCACAGTGACGCTGAACATGAACGGCTCTGTGTGGATCACACTCTCCCAGCCGGTCAGAGCTCTGACACCTGGACAGGTAACACACCTGTGCTACAGCATACAGTGCGATTGCTTGGGCCTGCCAGTAATAACGGCAAAAAGCTTTCTCTTGTTGTAGGAGTGTGTGTGCACGCTTTCTCAGCCCTTCTTAACGTTCCTCCCCGCAGTTTGCCGTGCTGTACAAAGGAGACGAGTGTCTGGGTAGTGGGAAGATCATGCAGCTGGGGCCCAGTGAACACACACTCCAGCGGGGCAGAGAACAGATGGCAGCAGCCGCGCAGCACAAGGACCAGCCGAGCCCCGAACCAGCCAGCTGAGACGACCGGGGATGGGCACGAGCTCTGCCTGGTACATTAGGTAGAGCACACTGTTCACGAGGGATCAACTGTGACAGGGAGGCCGTTTTAGAGACCCTAGAGGGGGGATTGTTCTTTAAGTACTTTGATGTATTGATGGGACCAGGACAAGACGCTTTCTGAGGTTATCTGCTGGCTGCTCAGGTAAACTATCTGCTTCCAAGCCTGTGTGCTTTGGAGTGGAGACGAGATGCAATAATTTAAATAAATAAATAAAAAAAAATCAAGCTTTTCTGTCAGTTCACTCGAATATCGGATGTGGTGCTTTGCCTTCATTTATGCTCTGAAACTTCTCCATAGTACATTCATGATGTCATTAGATCTGTTTGCTGTGCATTGCAGAGACCTGCAGCCTGGCATTATGGTAATTAAGGCAAAAAAGACTGGATATTCATGTATGTAAGTGCTCGATGTATTTTCAATCGCTGCAATTGTGGTTATCTTTTGGAAAATAAGTTGCCATAACAGAAACTAAAGTCAAGCTCTCTTTTTTTTTTAAATGTAGAAGAACAATCCACGGACCTAAACTTTTTGTACGCTGAGTTTTTGTCTCCATACAGTCAACATTCTGACCTGTGCTCTGGAAGAAAAGCTGTCTTTGTTAATGACGCTGGCAGTCATTAACTCTTCAAATGGCATATTGTTGTAAGTTCTTGTTAAACTACGAACTGTAAATACTTGAACATTTACCAGTGACTGAATAAACCTCATAAGTGATGTGTTGTTAATATACAAGTTGTACACTGGCTGTCCTGCCGTTATTGATCCACAAGGGGGCGCTGTTATACAAGATCAACCTGCAGGGTGAACCTGTTCTCGAGTCAGCATTGTTTTGCACGATCAGCATACTGTATATTCCTATGAATCCTCATGACACGTATGTAAGAACATACTTATACAAATGTGACCTCATCATGTTTTTTTCCAGAAATTATAAAAAAAAATGTTTTGGACAGTTTGTCATCTGTCACTGGTTTGGGGGGGGGTCATAAAGGCTCAAACCAAAAACAGTAAGAGAATAAGAAAAGGTTCTGCTGATATATCATCATGCAACACATTCAAGTGAAAATACAAGTTCCAAATAATGAAAATAGAGAAGAAAACACACATTACATGGTTAATGTATTTCACTAGCAGATAAAGAGTCGTTCTTATTTTCTGAGAGATAAACTTTGCAAAGAACAGTTACTGTGTGATGACCATTCAACATTCTCACCATGAAGAACACGGTATGTTATTTAAAATAGGTAATACAATAATAACTTATCAAGCTGTCATATTTTTTTGCTGATACAAGGATTTGAAGTGTTTTTTACTCCATGAACACATGAGTAGCAGCGTATTAGAGTTGTGTGACATGTCAACATCACTTTCTAAATGTTGGACATTGAAGTCTTAGTTCAGCTGTTTTGTGTTATGCACCCTCAATGCTTACTTACATTCAGCATGCACACAGTACACCCTCTAAACACGCATTAGGAATTTCACCCAGCTCTCACCCTATTGTAATAACAATGCACTTGCGCGCATTGGTCACCCGGTCAGGTCCACTTCCTAAATCTCCATGAGAAAAAAAAAAGCTGCCCCCACCTCCCCATGAAAGCGTCCCTGAGGGGGGAACGCAGCAGGTTTATGGTAATAAGGCTCCGAGGAGAAGAGAAGGAGGAGGAGGAGGCGGAGGAGAGCCACGGAGCCATTTTGTACTCATTTTAAACTCAGTGTGGGTTAACGCAGCTGCTGCGCGCCGTGGACGCGCTGATGCTATGGATACGGAGCGACTTTTTCCACGTTAAAACTTCACGATGAGGGGTAAAAGCAAAACGCGGTGTTGGGAGAGGGAGAGTTAAGGCTTTTGCGGAGGAGTTTGTGTGAAGTTGAATGGGATTTTGGCAGGTTCACAAGCATGGAGCTACCGATGTGTTGGATTTGGGTTTGTGTCCTGCTCAACGTGCCGCTCGCGGGATGTTTGGAGATACACCTTTCGGAGATTTTACAGCCCGGGACCCTTTTGGCAAACCTGTCGCTCGGCCCCGGATGGACTTTTAAACTTGACAGGACTTTATCAGCAAAATTCATTCAGAGCTTTTTCCAAGTCGAGAGACACGACGGGGTCGTCCGTCTGTCCCACAAAGTTCAGTGCGCGCACACGGCGAGGAACCCGGCGCCTGTTTATTTCAGAACAGGTTCCTTGACGTCTGGGGACGTTATCCTGACACAGTTTAATGTGTTCGTCCACGGCCAGGACTGTTTTATTAAATACAAGAGAAAGAAATCGTCAGGTAAGCCAGACATTCACATTAAACACCTCACGAAACTGGAGGCGACTTCCTGCTTACCGGCAGGTAAACTGCTGCTGAACGTAACAGAACTTTTGCCCACCTTTACGCGCAACGTCGCATTTTTGGACAGCATGTGTGTCGGCAAAGACTTGAGTGCAGTATTCAGGCGTGGGGATCTGTTCCTGGCCAGTGACTTATGTATTGAGCACCGAGGACAGCCCGAGGCGAGTTTGCACTGCGCGCTGCACAGCTCTGCGGGCGCCAGGCTCTCCGTGCGGCTGAGTTTGACGCTTCTAAAAGCGCATAAGCAACACGGGTCCGTCGCAGAGAGCATGCTGAGAAAGTCTGGCAGATTGATCCGCAGGGGGAAGCGACAGGTGAACGCGTCTCCCCAGTTCCACCTCCCCAACTATCAGGTGTCCGTGCCCGAGAATGAGCCGCCCGGTACGCGTGTTATCACCCTGAAAGCCACTGACCCGGATGATGGAGAGGCAGGGAGGCTGGAGTACAGCATGGAGGCCTTTTTTGACAGCAGGTCCAACGACTTTTTCGACATAGACTCTCAGACAGGGAGCATAACAACCGTCCAGTCACTAGACAGAGAAGTCAAAAACACCCATGTTTTCAAAGTCACTGTAATTGACAACGGCTCCCCCAAGAGATCTGCCACTTCTTACCTCACTGTCACCGTGAGTGACACTAACGACCATAGTCCGGTGTTTGAGCAAACTGAATACAGCGTTAGCATCCGGGAGAATGTCGAAACAGGGTTTGAAGTGATGACAGTCCGAGCCACTGATGGGGACGCTCCCTCCAACGCCAACATGATTTATAAAATCGTCAACGGCGACGGAGTTAACTCTGTGTTTGAAATCGACCCCCGGAACGGCCTGGTGAGGATCAGAGAGCGGCCTGACAGGGAGACCCGGGCCAAGTACCAGCTGATTGTTGAGGCCAACGACCAGGGCAAAGACCCGGGCCCCCGCAGTGCCACCGCTACTGTCAAGATCTCTGTGGAGGATGAGAATGACAACTACCCACAGTTCACTGAAAAGAGGTATGTTGTACAGATCCCTGAGAATGTGGCGGTCAACACCAAAGTCATCCAGGTGGAAGCTACGGACAAAGACGAGAGGAACAACGCCAAAGTTCATTACAGCATCATCAGTGGCAACGTTAAAGGACAGTTCTACATTCACTCCCCCACTGGTGTGATCGATATCATCAATCCTCTGGACTATGAGATGATTCGAGAATATAATTTGCGGATTAAGGCTCAGGATGGTGGCAGGCCTCCTCTGATAAACGGCACAGGGATGGTGGTGGTGCAAGTGGTGGACGTGAACGACAATGCCCCCATGTTTGTCAGCACACCTTTCCAGGCTACCGTGTTGGAGAATGTGGCCATTGGTTACTCTGTAATCCACATTCAAGCAATTGATGGTGACTCTGGAGAAAACGCCCGTTTGGTGTACCGGTTAACTGACACCACGCCGGGCTTTCCGTTCACGATCAACAACAGCACAGGCTGGATCACAGTGAGTGAAGAGCTCGACAGGGAGACCACGGACTTCTACACCTTTGGCGTGGAGGCGAGAGATAACGGGATACCTGTGATGTCCTCCTCAGCCAGCGTCAGCATCACGGTGCTTGATGTGAACGACAACCTGCCCACTTTTACAGAGAAGGTCTACTCGCTGAAGATCAATGAGGATGCTGTCGTGGGTACCAGCGTACTGAAAATGACGGCCGTAGATAGGGACATCAACAGCGTGGTGACCTATCAGATCTCCAGTGGCAACACCAGGAACCGCTTTGCCATCACTAGCCAGAGCGGCGGCGGTCTCATCACTTTAGCCCTCCCCCTGGACTACAAGCAGGAACGCCAGTACGTCCTGACAGTCACCGCCAGTGATGGAACACGCTACGACACTGCTCAGGTGTTCATCAACGTGACGGACGCCAACACGCATCGGCCCGTCTTCCAAAATGCCAACTACCAGGTGATGCTCTCCGAAGAGAAACCAGTCGGCACCACTGTGGTGGTGATCAGTGCGACGGACGAGGACACGGGGGAAAATGCTCGCGTCACGTACATGATGGAGGACAATGTTCCTCAGTTTAAAATTGACCCAGATACAGGTGCCATCACGACACAAATGGAGATTGATTATGAAGACCAGGCCTCCTACACATTAGCCATCATTGCCAAAGACAATGGCATCCCTCAGAAATCTGATACTGCCTATGTGGAGATTAGCATCCTCGATGCCAATGATAATACTCCTCAGTTTCTAAGGGACAGATACCAGGGGACCGTATTGGAAGACGCACCTGTCTATACCAGCGTTCTCCAGATCTCTGCTTCGGATAGAGACTCTGCCTCGAATGGCAGGGTGAGCTATACGTTTCAGGGTGGCGATGACGGAGAGGGGGATTTCCACATCGAGCCTTACTCTGGTATCATCAGAACTGCTCGCAAACTGGACCGGGAGAATGTTCCTGTTTACAATCTGAAGGCCTACGCTGTGGATAGGGGGGTTCCGCCTCTGAAGGCTGCCGTTCCCATTCACGTGGTTGTCCAAGACATAAATGACAATGCTCCAGTGTTTGAGAAGGACGAGCTGTTCATCAACGTGGAGGAGAACAGCCCGGTGGGGTCCGTCGTGGCCCGGGTCACTGCCACCGACCCCGACGAGGGCACCAATGCTCAGATCATGTACCAGATTGTGGAAGGGAATTTTCCAGAAGTTTTCAATCTTAACATTTTTAACGGCGACCTCACTGCACTCACAGACCTGGATTATGAGACTAAAACAGAGTATGTCATTGTGGTCCAGGCCACCTCAGCTCCGCTAGTGAGTCGGGCCACTGTGCACATCCGCCTCGTAGATATGAATGACAACATGCCGGTGCTGCAGAACTTTGAGATTATCTTCAACAACTACATCACCAACAAGTCCAACAGTTTCCCATCAGGAATAATAGGAAAGGTACCAGCTCATGACCCGGATGTGTCGGATAAGCTGCGGTACAAGTTTGAGTCTGGAAATGAGCTCAATCTGCTGCTGTTGAACGAGGACACTGGGGATCTGAGGTTGAGCAGGGACCTGGACAATGACAGGACCCTGGAAGCACCCATGACCATTTCCGTGTCAGGTAAGAAAGACATCTGAACATGTCTTCTTCCTTTTACTCTATTTGCAAGCTTTTTCTTTCTCTTTCCATGTCAGTTGCATGTGTAACAAGGTGCTAAAATGTGTTAAAGACGGAAATTTGAGTCACCACGTGTGATGCATCAACACTCTGCCGAGTCGATATATAGAATCTGCTGTTGAATAGAGACCGAGGGCAGGTTTCGGCTGTGGTGTGTTGACTGTATGTTCAGTGAGTGGTTGCTGCAGGCTCTATGCAGGATCCGGTTGTGCTGCTTTTGTGCCATTTGGGTGATACATGTTCTGTGTGCAAGTGGTTGGTTGAGGTAATAAAAAGGTGCTATTTAGCAGGTCACCCTGATAACTGAACCTGCTTTGTTGTTGCAGATATGTGGGCAGGCATATGCACACGCATGATTTCCCTCCCTTAGAGCAAATAGGCCGCATTCTTTGAAGTGTCTGAAGGCCTGGTGTAGGTGCGCTGCAGGGAGATTTATGTACATCTTGTGGCAAGAGGTCTCCCAGGATTTCCCCAGAATAACTTACCACGATGTGCATAGTATCTCACACAAACGGCGATTTTGAACGAAATGGAAGTTTTTTGATGCAGTTTTGTGTTGGTGTAAC